CCTATATGTTAAATGTATGTACCAAATTTGAACAAAATCCGTCCATGTATAACTGAGATCCGGGTCCGGAATGGTGAAAATGTGCGATTTCAATGCATTTTCGGCCTTAAAGCGGCCGCCATTTGGCTATCGTTAATGAGATCATGAAACAAATGCACATACATATTTGTGACATGATGTACCTTGTGTGTGTGAAGTTTGAACTCGATCAATCCAGACATGTCTCAGATACGGATCCAGAACTGAATTCTTTAAAACAAAATGGCCGCCAGTCGGCCATTTCGAATATGATCCGGAAAAAAAATGACGTGCATCAAGGTCCTATTATGTTTAATGTATGTACCAAATTTGAACAAAATCCGTCCATGCATAACTGAGATCCGGGTCCGGAATGGTGAAAATGTGCGATTTTGATGCATTTTCGGCCTTAAAATGGCCGCTATTCGGCCATCGTTAATCGGATCATGAAAAAAATGCATGTGCATATGTCCCATATAATGTGTGATATATGAGTGAAGTTTGAACTTAATCGGTCCATGCATGTTCGAGATACAGGTGATCACGGACGGACGGACGCACACAGGGCAAAACATAAGTCCCCGTTTTCGGACTACGTCCGAACGGGGACTAACAAGCAGCCTCTCCGCTGAGATAGCTCCGCTGTTAGCGATGCACATTTCAATTAAAGATATCATTACAAAATGAACAAATCTGAGAGAGGTCCACATGTAGTACCTATATATGTATTATCAAAGCAATTGGACTTGCGGTTTTTAACAAGAAGTCAAAAATATCACTTTTTACCAAAAATGACAAAAATATTCACCAAAATTAGAGAATTGACGATATCATGAAATGAACAAATCTGAGAGAGGTCCACATGTAGTACCTATATATGTAATATCAAAGCAATTGGACTTGTGGTTTTTAACAAGAAGTCGAAAATATCACTTTTTACCAAAAATGACAAAAATATTCACCAAAATTAGAGAATTAAAGATATCATTACAAAATGAACAAATCTGAGAGAGGTCCACATGTAGTACCGGATTCGGCTGATACTCCGCCCATCCTAAACCCCGCCCATGGGCGATGTTTCAAATAGTGGGCGATGTTTTGGTCCACACATTGCCTGACTGAACCAACAAACATTATTACAGACCCCAATTTTCCCGTCCGACGTCTTGTATCGAGCGCGCTATTTCAAATATGACGCTAAAATAATTCACTGTGAAGCCGAAAAGCATTAAAAACTTCAATAAAACCAATGCTGTAAACGAATTGTTGTTGCGTATTATTACACTCGAATAAAGTCTACGCTTGAAAAGAATGTTATTTACGAAGTTTAAAATAT